AGCCCTTTAGCATGGCTTTCTGTAAGTATTAGTGATAATGACAACACCAACAAGAGTAAAAGTTATCTTAATCCTCACAATGACCCATGAGGTAGGCATTATTTCTAGTTTACAAATGAAAAAGGGACTGCCAGGCGCGGTGGCTCCTGCCGGTAACCCCAGCACTTTGGGAGGCTGAGGCAGAAGCATCACTTCAGGCCAGGAATTTGAGACCAGCCTGGTCAAAATGGTGAAACCCTGTTTCTACTAAAAATGCAAAAATTAACCAGGCATGGTGGCGGGTACCTGTAATCCCAGCTACTCCGAAGGCTGAGGCATGAAAATAACTTGAACCCACGAGCCAGAGGTTGCAGTGAACCGAGATCATGCCACTGCACTCCAGCCTGGGCAACAGAGCAAGACTCTGTCTCAAATAGAAACAAAACAAAAAACATAAATGAAAAAGATACAGAACTTGGGTTTCAACTCAGCTGTGATGGCAAACTTGTCCACTTTAACTCTTCCGATGTTAACAAGAGGCTATTTCCAACCAAAAGCGTAGCCTTTTCTCTCCTGTCTCCTGCTCCCAAGAGAGACTGCACTGTTGAGGAGAAAGCACGGAAATGGCTCTTTCTCCTCTCTGTGGTAAAAAGGATCAATGATAAACTTTTTCTTCTCTTGTTATACTTCACAGAGGACTTTCACCTGTGTTATCTCATTTGCACGTCAGCCCTGTGAGGGAGGAAGTATTAACCCCATCCCACATGTAACTGCAAAGATAGCTGTCCACTCAGCTTCCAGCCCTGCATCTATATAAGCCCCATGGGGCCAAACTCAGGTAAAGTCTCAATAAATTTAAAAAGATAACTGTCATATAAAGTATCTCCTCGGACCACAACAGGACCAAGTTAAAAATTAATAACAGAAATGTAACTGGAGGCTAGTCATGGTGGCTCACATCTGCAAACCCAGCAACTTGGGAGGCTGAGGTGGGCAGATCACTTGAGCCCAGGGTTTGAGACCAGCCTGGGCAACATGCTGAAACCATGTCTCCACAAAAAAAAAAAAAAAAAAAAAAAAAAAAAGCCAGGCATAGTGGCACAGACCTGTAGTCCCAGCTACTCTTGGGGGCTGAGGTGGGAGGATCACCTGAGCCTGGGAAGGTTGGGGCTACAGTGAGCTGTGATCACACCACTGTACTCTAGCTTGGGTGACAGAGTGAGACCCTGTCTACAAAAAAAAGGAAAGAAAAGAAAAAGAAATTTAACTGGAAAATTCACAAATTTGTGAAAGTTAAACAATGCACTCTTAACCAATGGCTCAAAGAAGAAATCACAAAGGAAACTAGAAAATACCTAGAAATAAAAGGAAATTAAATCACAACATAGCAAAACTTATGAGATACAATAAAAGCTATACTAAGTTTGAAATTTATAGCTACAAGTGTTTACAGTAAAAAACAAGAAAGATCAATAAATCAACAACCTAACTTTACAACTTAAGGAAGTATAAAGAGAAGAACAAACAACCCAATGCTAGCAAGAAGTAAGAAAATAACTATTAGAGCAGCAGTAAATGAAACTGAGAATAGAAAAACAATAGAGAAGGCTGGGTGCAGTGGTTCATGCCTGTAATCCCAGCACTCTGGGAGGCCAAGGCAGGCAGATCACCTGAGCTCAGGAGTCCAAGACTAGCATGAGCAACATGGCGAAACCCACCTCTACCAAAAATACAAAAAGTTCTCTGGGCAGGGTGGTGTGTGTAGCTGTAGTCCCAGCTACTCAGAGGCTAAGATGGGAGGATCCCTTGAACCTAGGAAGCAGAAGTTGCAGTGAGCCTAGATCATGCCACTGCACTCCAGCCTGGGTGACAGAGCAAGACCTTGTCTAAACAAACAAACAAACAAAACAAAAGAAAAAGAAAAATAGAGAAAAACCAGCAAAACCAAAAGTTGGTTTTTTGAAATGATCAACAAAATTGAAAAACCTTTAGCTAGTGGACTAATAAAAGAGAAAGAAGCCTCAAATTACTGAAATCAGAAATGAAAGTGGGAACATTTATTTCTGATTCTATGGAAATAAAAAGGATTATAAGAGAGTACTGTGGACAAGTGTACACCAACAAATTGGATAGCTTAAATGAAATAGACATCTTCATAAAACCTACCAAGACTAAATCAAGAAGATATTGAAAATCTGAATAAACCTATAACTAGTAAGGGGATTGACTCAGTAATCAAAAACCTTCCACCAAAAAAATGCTCTAGACTTGATGGATTCACTGGTGAAAACTATCAAATATCTAAAGAACTAACACCCATCTTTTCAAACGTTTTTAAAAATTGAAAAGGAGGGGTTGAGAACAGTGGTTCATACCTGTAGTCTCAGGACTTTGGGAAGCTGAGACAGCAGATCGCTTGAGAGTTTGAGACCAGCCTGGGAAACATAGCGAGACCTTGTCTCTACAAGAAATGCAAAAATTAGTTGGGCATCATGGTGCACACCTGTGATCCCAGCTACTCTGGAAGCTGAAGTGAGAGAATCACTTGAGCCCAAGAGATTGAGGCTGCAGTTAGCCACGATCATGCTACTGCACTCCAGCCTGGGCAACAAGCAAGATCCTATCTGGAAAAAAAAAAAAAAAAAAAAAAAGGAGAAAACACTTCCTAATTCATTCTATGAGGCCAGTATTACCCTGAAGGCAATGCGAGACAGACATGCCAAGAAAACAATAGACCAATATCCCTTAAGAACATTGATGCAAAAACCTCAACAAAATGTTGGCAAACCAAATTCAGCAGCATATTAAAAGGATTACACACATGACCAAGTGAGATTTATTCCTGGAATACAAGGATGATTCAACATACAAAAAATGATCACTATAATGTACCACATTAACAGACAGAAAGGAAAAATGATAATCTCAATTGATGCAGCAAAAGCATTTGTCAAAAATTCAATACCATTTCATGATAAAAACACTCAACAAATTAGGAATACAATTCTAGGTGTTCAACAATGGATGAATGGATAAAGAAAATGTGGTATGCATACACAGTGTAATAGTCTTTAGCTATTTAAAAAAGAATGAAATTGCTTCAAACCAGGAAGCAGAGGTTGCAGTGAGCCAAGACTGCGCCGCTGCACTCCAGCCTGGGCACCAGAGTGAGACTCTGTCTCAAAAAAAAAATTGATTCTTAGGTATCTTATATTATTTGTAGCTATTATAAATGGGATTGCTTTCTTGATTTCTTTTTCGGATAGTTTGCTGTTGATGTATGTAAATGCTACTAATTTTTATACGTTGATTTTGCAACTTTACTGAATTCGTTTATAGTTCTAATAGTTTTTTTTGTGTGTGTGGAATCTATAGCTTTTTCTAAGTATAAAATTATGTGATCTGTGAACAGAGCTAATTTGATTTCTTTCATTTCAATTTGGATGCTTTTTATTTCTTTCTCTTGAGTGCTTGCTCTGGCCAGTACTTCCAATATTATGTTAAATAAAAGGTTGAGAGTGGGCATTCTCATCATGTTCCACATCTTAAGAAAGGGCTTTCCATTTTTCCTTATTCAGTATGATGTTAGCTGACAGTTTGCCAGATATGGCCTGTATTATTTTGAGATATGTTCCTTCTCGACTCAATTTGTTGAGAGTTTTTATCGTAAAGGGATGTTGAATTTTATTGAATGCTTTTTCAGCTTCTATTCAAATAGTCATATGGTTCTATTAATGTGATGTATCACATTTATTGATTTGCAAATGTTGAACCATCCTCACATCTCTAGGATGAATCCCACTTGGTCATGGCAAACGGTCTTTTTAATGTGTTACTGAATTAAGTTTGCTAGTATTTTGTTGAGGGGTTTTGCATCACTTTTATCAGTAATAGTAGCCTGTTGTTTCTTTTCTTGTCATATCCTTGTCTAGTTTTGGTATCAGGGTAATGATGGGGCTTATGGAACACGTTTGGAAGTATTCCCTCTTTTTCAGTTTTTTTGAAGAGTTCGCATGGAATTGCTATTAGTTCTTCGTTAAATGTTTGGTAGAATTCAGCAGTGAAGCTGTCATGTCCTAGGCTTTTCTTGATGGGAGACTCTTTGTTACAGCTTCAGTTTCATTAGTCATTACTGGCTTGTTCAGGTTTTCTGTTTTCTTCATGATTCAGCCTTGATAGGTGTGTATGTTCAGGAGTTTATCCATTTCTTCTAGGTTTTCTAATTTGTTGGCACATAGTTGTTTGTAATGGTCTCTAATGATTCTTTGAATTTCTGTAGTCTCACTTATGTCTCCTTTTCAGTTTCTGATCTTGTTTATTTGGGTTTTTCCTCTTTTTTCTTAGTCTGGTTAAATGTTTGTTGATTTTATTTTTATTTTATTTTATTTTTTAAGAACCAACTTTTTGTTCTATTGATCTTCTGTATTATTTCAAATCTCAATTTCATTTACTTCTGCTCTAATCTTTATTATTTACTTCCTTCTACTAATTTAGGGTTTGGTTTGTTCTTGCTTTTCTAGTTTCTTGAGGTACATCGCTAGGTTATTTATTTGAGGTCTTTCTACTGTTTTGATATGGCTGTTTATTGCTATAAGCTTCTTTCTTACTATTGCCTTTGCTGCCTCCCACAAATTCTGGTATATTTCCTTTTCATTTGTTTTGAGAGACTTTTTACATTTCTTTCTTAATTTATTCATTGACTCATTCATCATTCAGGAGCATGTTGCTTAGTTTCTATGTATTTGTGTAGTTTCTGAGGTTCTTCTTATTACTGATTTCTAGTTTTTATTCCACCGTAGCCAGAAAAGATACTTGATATTATTTCTTCTTTCCTGAATTTGTTGAGACTTGTTTTGCAGCCTAAGACATGGTCTACTCTGGAGAATATTTCATATGCTGATGAAAAGAATGTGTATTCTGGTGAGGGGCCGCATCTCGCAGCAGCTGCCCCGGCCGGGCATGGTGTTGGGCGCCGGGCCCGCCTCGCCTGTCTCGGGGAGCCCGGGGCAAAGGCAGCAGTAATGCTAATGCTAGCAAGCAAACTGAAGCGTGATGATGGTCTCAAAGGGTCCCGGACGGCAGCCACAGCATCGGACTCCACTAGGAGGGTTTCCGAAAGAGACAAATTGCTTGTTAAAGAGGTTGCAGAACTTGAAGCTAATTTACCTTGTACATGTAAAGTGCATTTTCCTGATCCAAACAAGCTTCATTGTTTTCAGCTAACAGTAACCCCAGATGAGGGTTACTCCCAGGGTGGAAAATTTCAGTTTGAAACTGAAGTTCCCCATGCTTACAACATGGTGCTTCCCAAAGTGAAATGCCTGACCAAGATCTGGCACCCCAACATCACAGAGACAGGGGAAATATGTCCGAGTTTACTAACAGAACATTCAATTGACGGCACTGACTGGCCTCCCACAAGAACATTAAAGGATGTTGTTTGGGGATTAAACTCTTTGTTTACTGATCTTTAGAATTTTGATGATCCACTGAATATTGAAGCTGCAGAACATCATTTTTGGGACAAGGAGGACTTCCGGAATAAAGTGGACGACTACATCAAGCGTTATGCCAGATGATAAAAAGGGATGATTGCAGGCCCATGGACTGTGTTACAGTTTGTCTCTCACGTGAAACAGCAGGAGGTAGCCCCCTCTCCCGTCCTCACGCTCCCTCAGTCCCCTGGATTGCCCCAGTCCTGTGACCATGTTGCCCTGAAGAAGACCATCTTCATGACTGCTCATTGTAGATGGAGAATTCAACATAAATACAGCAAGAAAATGTGTTTGGGCTTCTGAAGAGTTGTCTGCTTACCTTAACATGTTTACTTTTTTGAACTTGTACTGTATAGGCCATTGGTGAAATTCTTAAGAAGTTGTAATGAACTCAAAATTGAGGCCAGAGCTTGCTTTCCCTTTTCCCCAACAAAATTGGTTTTCTGCACAAGCAATGCTAATGATGTGTTCCGTGTAACTTGCAGATTGGCAATAAGATACCTGCTACAAACTGTGATTGGATGCAAAATCTCTTAGCTTCTTTCACGAATGCTGGCCCTGCCTAGATGTTGTGAAGCTTCCCAGAATGCATAGTCATTCACTGTAGATCTCTTATTGAAATGCATATTTTATTTAATGTAAGTATATTTTTGGAACAGAAAAAAAAGTGTATTCCACAGCAGTTGGGTGAAATAGTCTGTAAATATTAGTTAGGTCTACTTTGTCTAGTGTGTAGTTTAACTCGAATGTTTCTTTGTTGATATTCTGTCTGGATGTTCTGTGCTTTACTGAGAGTCGAGTGTTGACATTCCTACTATTGTTATATTGTAGTCTATCTCTCGCTTTAGATCAATTTATGTTTGATTTATATATTTGGCAGCTCTAGTAGTTACTCTATAGATATTTATAATTGTTTTATCATCTTGCTGAATTGACCCCTTTATCATCATATAGTGACCTTGTCTCTTTTTATAGTCTTTGACTTGTAGTCTATTTTGGCGGATATAAGCATATCTACTTCTCCTCTTTTTTGGTTTCCAGTTGCATAGCATATTTTATTTTCACTCAACACACTTCCAGTCTATGTGTATCTTAAAAAAAAAAAAAAAAAAAAAAAGGATCATTCTGTCTTCTAAGCTGGAGTGCAGTGATACGATCATAGCTCAGAGCAGCCTCAATATCCTGGGCTCTATGTGTGTCTTTATAGGTGAAATGGGTTTCTTTTTGTAGGCAGCATATAGTTAGGTATTGTTTCTTATCCGTTTAGCCATTCTATGCCTTTTAATTGGAGAATATAATCCATTTATATTCAGTGTTATTTTGATAAGTAAGAACTTACTATGCCATTTTGTTGCTTGTTTTTTGGTTGTTTTGTAACTCCTCTTTTCCTTTCTCTCTTTCTTACTGTCTTCCTTTATGGTTAAGTGATTTTCTCTGGTAGTATGTTTTAATTCATTGCTTTTTATTTTCAGTAAATCTGTTATAGGTTTTTGCACTGTGGTTACTATGAGGCTTATAGAAAACATCTTATAAATATAACAAGTCATTTTACAGAGGTGGCAACTTATCACAGTTCTAGATCACAAAAAAAAAATAATAGAAACAAAAACTGAAAAAATCTCTACACTTGAAATCCATGCTCCCCCCACATTTGGTCTTTTTATTGTCTCAATTTACATACTTGTATACTGCCTATCTCTTAAGAGACTGCTGTAGCTATTATTGTTTTTGATAGATTTGCTCTTTAGGTTTCAAACTAGACTTATGCATGGATTGCACACCACATTTACAATGTTAGAGCGTTTTGGGTTTGTCCGTGTATTTAATTTTACCAGTGGATTTTATACCTTCAAATGTTTTCTTTTTGCATGTTAGTGGGCAGGTTTTTTCCTTCTGGTTGAAGACCTCTCTTTAGCATTTCTTGTAAGATGAGTCTGGTGGTGATGAATTCTCTCGGTTTTGTTTGAGAAGGATTCTATCTCCTTAATATTTGAAGGACAACTTTGCTGGATACAGTATTCTTGGATAGCAGGGTTGTTTTGTTTTGTTTTATTTTCCAGCACTTTGAAAATGTCATCCTACTCCCTCCTGGCCAATGTGGTTTTCATTGAACAGTCTATTGCCAGACAAATTGGTGCTCCTTTATATGGTATTTGCTTTTATCTTGCTGCTTTTAGGATCCTTTCTTTATCTTAGACTTTTGAGAGAAAATTATATGCCTTGGGGTGCTCTTATTTGGACAGAATCTATATGGTGTTCTCTGACCTTCATGCACTGGATATTTGTATCTTTCTCAAATTTTGGAAAGTTTTCTGTTATTATTTCTTTGAATAGGGTTTCTGCCGCTTGCTCTTGCATATATGCCTCTTGAATACCAATAATTCTTAGATTTGGTGTTTAGAGGTAATTTTCTATGTCTTGTAAACAATCTTCATTCCTTTTCATTCTTCTTTTTTCTCCTATGGCTATATTTTCGATTAGACTGTCTTCAAGCTCGCTAATTATTTCCTCTACTTAATCCATTCTCCTGTTAAGCACCTCTAATGCCTTTTTCCATTTGGCAAATGTATTTCTCAGTTCCAAAATTTCTGTTTGTTTGATTTTTTTTTTAATCATTTCAATCTCTTTGTTAAATTTTCTCAGCTGGGCACGGTGGCTCATGCCTGTAATCTCAGCACTTTGGGAGGCCAAGACAGGTGGATTGTCTGAGGTCAGGAGTTCAAGACCAGCCTGACCAAAATGGTGAAACCCTGTCTGTACTAAAAATACAAAAATTAGTTGGGCATGGTGGCAGGTGCATGTAATCCTAGCTACTTGGGAGGCTGAGGCAGAAGAATTGCTTGAACCTGGGAGGCAGATTTTGCAGTGAGCCAAGATTGCACCATTGCACTCCAGCCTGGACAACAAGATCAAAACTCCATCTAAAAAAAAAAAATTCTCACAAATTACTGAATTGATTTTATGTGTTATCTTGGAGATCAATGAGTTTTCTTAAAACTGCTATTTTAAGCTGTTGGTCAAAGGGCTCATGTATCACTGTCCCATTAGAGTCAGTCTCTGGTTCCTTGCTTTATCCATTACAGGAGGTCATGGTTCCCTGTTTGCTGTTGTTTCTTGTGGATGTCTCCTTTGTCTTTGCATTGAAGGATCAGTTATTTATTCTAGTCTTCTAAGTTGGAAGGGTTTGGAGAGCTCAGAAGAAGATAGGAAGATGAGGGAAAATTTGGAACTTTTTAGATACTGGTTAAATGGTTGTGACCAAAATACTAATAGAGATATATCCAGTGAAGGCCAGGCTGACGAGGTCTCAGATGGAAATGAGTAAGTTATTGAGAACTGGATTAAAGTCACTTGTGTTATCCCCTAGCATAGAACTTGGCTGCATTGTTTTCATGTCCTCAGAATTTGTGGAAGTTTGAACATAAGTGTGATGACCTAGGGTATCATATGGAAGAAATTTTTAAGCAGCAAAGCATTCAACAAGTGTCATGTAGCCAGGCATGACAGCTCAAACCTGCAATACCAGCACTTTGGGAGGCCAAAGCTGAAGGATTGCTTGAGCCCAGGAGTTCAGCCTGGGTAAATAGTGAGACCCCCATCTCTACAAAAGATTTAAAAACTAGCCAGACATGGCAGTGCATTCCTGTGGTCCCAGCCACTCAGGAGACTGAGACAGGAGAATCACTTGAGCCTGGGAGGTCAAGGCTGAAGTGAGCCCTGATCGTTCTACTGCTCTCCAAACTGGGTGACAGAGAAAGACCATGTCTCCAAAAAATTATTATTTTTAGGAAAAAAATAAATATAGGAGTGATGTGGCCGCTTCTAGCAGTCTACAATCAGATGCAGGAAAAAAGAAATGACTTAAAGTTGGAACTTACATTTAAAAGGGGAGCAGAGCATGTAAGTTTGGAAAATTTGCAACCTGGCCCTATGGCAGAGAAAGAAAAATTATTTTCAGGGAAAAAATACCAGCAGGTTGCAGAACAACCACTTGATAGAGTGGCACAACTAAAAGGGAGCCAAGTGCTAATATCGAAGACATCGGGGAAAAGTCCTTGAAGGTATTGCAGAAATCTTGGAGACAGCCCCTCCCATTACAGACCCAGAGGCATTGGAGGAAAGAATGGTTTTAGGGGCCAGGCCCAGAATGCAGCTGCCCTGCTCAGCCTCAGGAGGCTGCCCCCGACATTCCAGCCACTTCAGCTCCAGCCTCAACTCAGAGGAGCCCAGGTACAGCTTGGGCTACCACTCCAGAGAGTGCAAGCTACAAGCCTTGGTGGCTTCCATCTGGTGTTAAGCCTGCAGGCTCACAGAGTGCAAAAGTAAAGGGAGCTGCCAGCTTCCTGCTTGATTTCAAAGGATGTATCAGAAAGCCTGAGTGTCCAGGCAAAAGCCTCTTGCAGGGGTAGAGCCCTTATGGAGAACCTCTACTAGGGCAGCACCAAGGGGAAAGGTAGGGTTGGAGCCCCACATAGAGTCCCTACCAGGGAACTGGCTAGTGGAGCTGTGGGAAGGGGTCTACTGCCCTGCAGACCCCAGGATGGTAGAGCCATGGGCAGCTTGCATCCTGAGTCTGGGAAAGCCACAGGCACTCATCCTCAATCTGTGCAGACACAGAGGCTGCACCCTGCGAAGCCACAGAGGCAAGGCTGCTTGAGGCCTTGGGAGCCCACCCCTTGCACCAGTGTGTTCTGGATACAGGACATGGAGTTAAGGATTATTTGTGAGCTTTGAGGTTTAATGTCTGCCCTATTGAGTTTCAGACATGCATGGAGCCTTTAGTCTCTTTTGACCAGTTTCTCCCTTTTGGAATGACAATGTTTACCCAATGCCTGTACTGCCATTTTATCTTGGGAGTAAATAACTTGATTTGATTGTATGGGCAGAGAGATGGAAGGAGATGAGACTCAGATGAGAAAGGACTTTGGACTTGAAGCTGGAATGAGTTAAGACTTTTGGTGACTACTGGCAGGGAATGATTGTATTTTGCAATGTGAGAAGGACATGACATTCAGGG